ATTTTAACATCAGATTTAAATTTAAAAGTCTTTCTAACATGAGGTAAATTAATCCTTGAGCCTTTACTTCTTTTACCTGTTTGAGTACTTTTACTTTTCAAAACTATAATTCTATTTAAATCATCTGCAGATTCATCTTCATATTCAGTTTCAGTTGAGATAATTCTGTTCTACACATGGTTTCAATAGCTTCTATTTTTGGTTCCATTTCTTTTCTTTTCTTTTTTTTTTTTTTTTTTTCTTTTTTTTTTCTTCTAGAGTTTCTTTGCATTCCTTTCAGTGTTATATTTTAAAGCTTGTGGAGTTATTGTAGTTTAATTTATTATATTTCTTTCTATTGCATTATTATAATTCCACATCTCTCAAGTTTTCACTTTCATAATTATCATCTCTTTTATACAGTTTCAGTGATTCATCTTCTTCTGGGATACTTCCTCAATAATTTAGACTTCATATTTCACTTTTGATTCTATTTGCCCATATAAGGTGATAATTATCAGTTAATACAATTTTCCTACGTGAGTCAAATTTATTACACAGTATCCATATTTTTCTTCTTTTATTTTTAGTATTTACAAATTATGTTGTAGGATTTAAAAGTTCCCGAAATGAGTCTATAGCATAAAAGTTTTTTGCAGTAGTGCGACTACGAGAAGGTTTTTGTGTTACTACATTCTTCCCCTATTCTAAAGGTGGTTTGTCCCAAATCACATGGTCGAAAGCTCACAACTACAGTGTTTTTTGTAGGCAGGTGCATTTAGTAACTGGCAATAGAAAAAAATGGTGTTAGTTGAGCAGGAATCAATATCACATTTTATATTTGCTTGGGATAGAGTGCTATAGAGACTTTTGAAATGTTGAAGCATGTATACGGAAGTGAACCTGTATCGAAAATGCAAGCTTTTGAGTGATATCGTCATTTCAGAGAAGGCAGGGTAAGTGCTGAAGACGGTGAACGCTGTGGCCACACCGCACTTCCTGCATCGATGAAAATATCAAAAAGGTGTCTGCAGTGGTACGTGCGAACAGGCAGCAAACAATATAGCAGAATCAGTTGGGATATCAGAGCCCACATGTCAGTGACTAAGGATCTTAACATGCATAGGGTGTGTCAACACATCGTTGCCCGCATGTTAAACATAGCCCAAAAGCAAATTCGAAGGGAAATGGTGGGAGACTTAATCTCGGCTGAAGACCAAGATCCTTCCCTACTTGGCAGAATTGTTACTGGAGTCAAATGGAGTTTTTTGTATGACCTGTAAACCAAGAGAGCATCAGCAGTGTGGAAATTACTACTATCTCCATGGAAGCAGAAATTCCGCCAAGATCGCTCTAAAGGAAAGGTCATGCTATAAGTATTCTTCGATATCCAGGGCATTGTGCATCTGGAATTTATCCTTGAAAGACATACTGTGAACAAAGAACTCTATGTCGAAATTCTGAATTGTTTGCGTGAGTCGATCTGGAAGAGGAGACCAAAAATGTGGGCTGAGCAGTCATGGATGTTGTTGCAGGACAACGCTCCTGCTCACCGTTTCGTACTTGTCAGTGACTTGACTTTCGAAAACGAAAACAACTGTTTTTCCTCATCCTCCTTACTCACCTGATCTCGCACCCTGCAATTTCTTCCTATTTCCTGAGCTGGCAAGATGCTTGCAGGGTCGTCGATTTCAATCTTCAGATGAAGTTAAATTTGCATGGCAGGCTGAATTAAAGGACATGGCCAAAAATGGATTCCAGACATGCTTTGATGAACTTTACAGGTGTTGGCGTTATTGCACAAGGGTCTTATTTTGAAGGAGGATGTGTTTCTGCAATTTAATTCATAACATTTCTTATGTTATAGACTCATTCCAGGAACATTTGAATCCTACCTCATATATCTATATAAGTTTTACCTAACCAAAGATGAATAATGTTTTTTATCTTAAATGACATCTATGTACTATCTCTCAAAAATTTATTTTCAGAGATGACGACCATGCCTTGCTACCACATTTTCTTTTATTTTAGAAGTTTCATATTTCTTAATGTCAAATATTTCTAAAATAAACTTTAGAAAGAAACACATAAAGTAATTTCATTAAAGAACATTCACTATAGCCAAAACATCTTAAAACCAAAAACATCCTCAACTGATTCCAGATCTGAGAAACTAGTAGCGTCTGTCCCCAGCATATTATAGGTGTATTTTCCAGCATGGAACCTTTGTTGCGTGGCCAAAAAACATCTATGTATATTTGGCTTGTCAATGAATTAAAACTTCAGCGATGCATAAGTGAAATGCTGCAGGGTGTGTGAAATTTGTTAACTTTGTGCCCAAATATGAAAGCAGTCAGAGGTCATAGCTAGGGTTTTCAGCGCCTGGGGACAAATGAAGATTTCATGCCCCCTACTGCTTGCCAATAATAAAAAACATTTCATTCTAAAATTTCGCAATATAAATTTGGTGCCTCGTGGATACTGCGCCCAGGGACGGATGCCCCCTTTTTCTCCCCTTCTGTGAGCAGTCATTTACTGGGGACTTAAAAAAGCATATGAGGTGAGCTTTGTGCCCAAATATACAAGAATTTATTTACTGGGGACTTGAAAAAGGTGTGGAAATATATGATGTTATTTTTTCACTAGTGTTGATGTTTTTGAATTGCTTTAAATTAATGCTGTAGGTTTCTGTAATGTGTAATAATCAATTAGCATAACTGTATTTTACATTTATTTCCAAATGCATTTTTGTTTGCTATTTCACCTTATATTTACTGTTATCATAAAATTTCTTTTTAAATTTATGCTTTCCACAAAGGCATATCTCATCCTAGGCAAGTAACTCTTGAGTGCTTTGACATTATGAATTAGTTTTACCTCATTTTACAAATTTTGTTTTATTTCATATATACAGTTATCATAAAAGTTCCTCTTTTAAAAGGCATTCAGCAAAATCACAGACTTCGGTCCTTTTATTCCTTATTCTTGATTACATTATCTTACCTTAGTAGTAACTGAAAAGGCATACAGTTTATAGCATTTTAATCTTCATTCATTTTCTGGGAACTCTGACTAAGCATACCATATCATTTTTTGTGGAAACTGGGATAATTGTGAGAAAACACAACAGAAAATGGAACTTGAGAAAGCTACTATTATGATTGAAAAGGTACTACTACTAAAGAAGTCATAGTTACTCAACATACCTTATTCATTAGTATTTATCATTAGTGTCATTACTATTTTTCACAAGGGTGAACTTTAAAAATTGTTTATTTTTAATGGCATCGAAAAATTCATTACAGTTTTGTTCACTATTTTGCAGCTTACTAAAGCTTTTACCATTGTGGTTCAGCCATTTTACCTTTGAATGGGACTGAGCAATGAAGTGCATTTTTCTATGAAATGACTGAAAACATGTATCCATTTTTTTTTACAACTTCTACTTTCCCAAATTTAGCTAACAAAAAAGCTTTTGAAATCATTTAATTCTTCAAAAAATATATCTATACTCATTGTAGAATCTGCAACATTTTCAATAATTCTTTCATCTGAAGCTTCAGTTTGAGACCATGTCAATTCACTGTTATTTATCAAAATAAAAGATTCAGTTCCACCAAAACTGTTTTCTCATAGATCAGTGTAGTGCCTCATCTATTATAAAATGTAAACTTTTGTAAGATTGTATTGATATTAATAATTTCATTATTTTCTAGTATTCTAAAACATTTTTTGCTTCTTGAAGCATAAATTTGCTGTCAAGTTTTTCCTGAAGGTTTGTTTTTATTTCCCCATTTCATTGGCGATATCAATTTGCAGTTGCTTTTGTACTTTCCTTAATCAAGGTAATTTTGTAAAGTAATTTGAATTGCCTTTGCAAGAAACCACAAATTCACCACAATCACTGTCATTCCTGTAAGGTGTTCTTGTAAAATAAAATCTTGGTGTTGGTATGTTGAAAAACCTTTTTATACTCTACATGTATAAATTCACAGAACTCTTTTAGTTTAGTGACTCAAACCATATAAATATGGAAATATTTATAAATTTTGAGTACTAAAGCTCCCATTTCAACAGGTAGAACATCAATTGCAATTTTAAGGTATTTTTTTAGTACAATGTCAGCACTGCAACTATATTTCTTCCTAGTTGATTCTTTAATTTGTTGTATTGTTTTCTTCATTGTGTTTAATGTCTTATTTTTTAACTTTAGTGTAATTTAACAATATGAGACTCCGAAAAAAAATTTCTGTGAGGATATAGATAAATTATTGCCATCTGACTGCAGGCTTAACCTTTGGCCGAGTTTTGCAGGTACTAGGTGGCCTCTGTAGAAACAATACTTAAAAACCACATGAATTACCTAATCAGTTATTTCTTGCAGTGTTCATGTTAGTAATGTTGGACAGGGAAAAGTTATGCTACTATAAAATGCTTTCAAAACAATGAAACATGTCTTCTCTTGTGTATGTTTTGAGAGTTATAACAAAAACAAACACACACACACACACACACAAAACAAAAAAAAAAAAAAAAAAAAAAACTCCTTTATTATTTCTTCTTGGTAAATTTCAGCAGCCAGCAGGAGTGAAAGAATAGCTGTAAATTTTGCTGTTGTGCATTAGTTTTATTTATTCATTGGACTACTTGTTGATATCAAGATTTACTGACAGCATCTAGGTATATTTTGATTGGGCTTTGCAGAATTTCCATGTAAATAAAACAGTATGAGAATATGCTGTATGACACCATTTACCTGTAAGTAAAATAAATGAAATCTTAATTTAATTGATTCAACAAAAATAAAAACACCATGATATCATGATTATGAAAGAATTTCAGTTGCATTATTCTAGTTTATTTTTGTACACTTTTGAATAAATCATGTTAGCATATTTCTATGCATCTGAATTTTGACAAGCTAAAATCCTGCATTGCATTCTGATCAACATCAGAGTGCATCGGATATATTTTAATGCACATTTCAGAAATAAAATTCTATCTTTTGTTTTTTCTAGTTCAAGTATACCTGGAAGTGAAAAAGATTACTTTTGTACACCTCCAAGGAGAAAAAAGTTTAAAAGAAATCGTAAAGTTTTTCAAACTGATACGGAAACTGGTAGCAGTGAAGTAAGCTGGTTTGGAAAAGGAAAATCTATTACTTTATTTGAAACTCCAAAAAAGAATTATTCAAACAGGTAGAAATTCAATCCTTTTTATTTAAATCTATTCTGCTTTTGTTTTCTTATAAATTGTTTTAATGTAAGGCATGATTTTAAATAGCTATTGAAAGGTATGGTTTTCCCTTTTGTTTACTTTTCTTAAATGTGCATTTTTTTAAACTTTTGTATTAACTGTTAAAATCTGTTTCTAGGAAAAAGAACAGTAAAAATTCCTCTTATCAGTCTGCTAAACAGGTAAAGAAAATATAAAATTATCTATAAAATGATGTCTCTTGATATCTTTATGTGTAGTAATTTTGCAGCACTCATTTTGTTAGTTTTACAGAGTAATATTTTAGGAAAGAGGGTCATGATAATTTAGTAAATGGAAATAAGAATGAATTGTATTTTTTTTCTTCTATTTGATGATTATATTTCAATTATGCAGAAAAAAAGGAGGGGTTGTTTTTCCTATGTTTCTTGAGTAATATAAATGTACATTTTTTAAAATTATTTAATTCCGTGCAAGAATCAATTTAATTAAATAAATGCTTTTGTTTAACCTGTGCAAAAGTTTTCAATTTGGTTTTAATAGAAATTTCTGTAGCTCATTTTATTACTCTGCCATGTGAAGAAATAATTAATTGACCTGTGATTTGATGGTTAATATATTTCACCCATTTACCAATTTAGAGGTATTTTTTTTTTTAATGATTTTGCATATTTTGGTAGAAATGGGAAAATATTAACTTTGATATTATGCAGTGATGTAAAAAGTATAGTTGCAGATTATTTTAAAAAGTAATGCTGCATGTGAAATGTTATTCAAACAATTCAAAATATTTTTTCTAAATTTTTTCAGTTGTCTAGTTATAATACTTTAATATTTTGTATTTGAATGTCTTTGAATATATTTTTATAATTTAAATTTTCCTTCATGCGTTAACTTAAAATCTAAGTCATCATTTACAAAGTGCATGAAACTGGGTTACAAAGGTGGATTTCATAAATAATTTATAAATGTTTTAAAAATTATGTGCTATACCTGTGATTATGAAAAAAATATGTTATTAAGCGTTCTTGTGAATGCTAATTTTTCAGGATTTCTTTTCTGAACTGATGATTCTAAGCTTTTCTTTTTTAACTTTTTCCAGATTTTTTTTCATCAGATATAATTTTCTTGCAGCATTTGCTTCTTGCAAACCATGTAAACATATTCATGCATGCAAAATTATGGCACATCTTTTGCAGCATTTCAACTTATATAATTTCAGACTTTTACGCTTAGATAGTGGGTTTTTTTTTTTTTTTTTTTTTTTTTTTGTTTGTTGTTGTTGTTGTTCACTGTTATGGATATATTTTTAATTGTGCTATATTTTTTACCTATTTGATGTCACTATTCAAGTTGTTCAATTAGTTTTTTTTTTTTTTTTTTTTTTTTTTTTTTTCCTTGGTAGTAATATTTTTCTCCTATTTTGCAAGACAATGAATTCCAATCATGATGATAATTTTTTGTGTCTGTGCTCATATTTCGTGTGCGTACCTAAAGTAATAATACTGATGATGTAAAACATCATATTGAACTGCCATACGAAGCAAATGAACTGATTATCTCATAATTAACAATAATAAAATATTATAAACTGCTAAATCATTTTTCAAATTTATTATTAATTTCAAATTGATTATTAACATTAAGTTACTCAAAATGCTTGATCCAACTTCATACAATTTTATTTTTTAGATTAATAAACTCAGAAGAACAAGCAATACATGAAATGAAAGTATATCTATCCAAATTTTACATATTTTAGCTACACAAGCAAGAAAACAATCATATTCTCACTATACTTGTTTCAGTGTAATTTTTATATTGTCTCCATAGTCACAGTAGTAACATTTAAGATAATGTGTCTGTGGATAGTTTTTAACTTTGAATAATAAGTCACCTTAATTGTATTCCCAATAAAAGTCAAGTCATCAGGTCTACTGTGATTAGGGTTGCCAACTGCCCTTTCATGGAAGAGACTGTCCTTTTTTGCGTTTGGAAAAAATGCCAAATGTCTTTTATTCCAAAATTAAAAATCTCTTGCAGTTGAATGATAGCATTTGGCATGCAGTCTTTCTTATCAAGGTTTCTGTATTTCAGTAAGCTTGAGCTCTTAATTATTAATTAATTAGCTTGAGCTCTTAATTAAATATTCTCTGCAAGTTTCTTTGCATTTTTTTACTAATATTGCATTTAGTGACACTTTTTCAATTAACAACATGGTTTGTCCATGTACTGTACTCTACAATGTGTTATGAAAAAAAAAATTTTTTTGGCCTTTGGGGCAGTTTTCCTGTAGAAGGACAGCTATCCTGATTAGCTGGTGAAAGGCACAGGCAAGCTGCCCCCTTTCACCAGCTATCAGTTTCTCCCCCTTTTTTTCCTTGATCCACAACTCAGGACTTTATAAAGTCGAACCAGCCTACTGAGGTAAAGTTCAGTTACAGTAGAAATGCCAACAAAAGCAATCTAACGAATGCTCTTAGTCCAGAATCACTGTTTAACTTCATCTTCCTGTTAATCTCTATGCAGAATATGCTTTGTTTGCATTTGTTTGGTTCATTTTAAAATTATTTTTCAGTATTTTCTAATGTATGCTTGGCTATATATAATAATTTGTTTCTTTAATTTATCCCCTTTTTTGGTCTCTGTTTATTATATCGTATTTTACTTTGTTAGACCCATAAATAAAGTAGGAAACAGATAAACAAAAAAGATCAAGCTATTAGATATATAACAAAAATTCGAAAGAAGACTATGAATAATCACAAATACACTCATGTCCATAAATTAAGGATAATTCGGAGTCACGCGGAAATCGAACTCTAAAATATATATATCACCTGTAAAATCACTACACACATCTTCAAGAATCATATGCAAATTTCAGGAAGTAACTAGATGACACCGATGGTATGCCACAATGACGAGAGTGTAAGAGAGTGATATATAAGGAATACAGGCAAAGAAGTAAAATTATTTGCAGGCGCTTTATAAGCATTTCAGTGCAATAACCGAGTAGTTGTGACACAAAGGATGCATTTGGATGATTTTTTACATGGTAGAATTATCGGCCATCCACAACTGGCCATCCAACATCTGGAATGTGGGCATACCTGACTGGAAGTATCAAACGAACTTCGAATTGCCCAGAGTGTCATGTCCAGGCTTTGGCAACGATTCCAAGATGATGGTAATGTGAGTAGACGTTACAGCACAGGTCGGCCCAGAGTTACAACGCCAAATGAGGACCGGTGTTTGGTAGTTACTGCCAAAAGAAACAGGCGGAGCACAGCCTCAGACCTGTCTCATAAGCTGTCTTCAGCCACTGGTACGACAATTTCAAGGCAGGCCGTGTACAGACGCTTAGGGCAGATTGGTCTATATGCTCGTAGACCTGTCAGATGCGTTCCACTTACTGCAACTCACTGTCGCCTGCGGTTAGCCTGGAGTAGAGAGCATGAATTGTGGACACCTCAACAGTGGGCTTGTGTGATGTTTTCCGACGAGTCCAGGTTTAGCTTGCAGTCTGATTCTCGCCAGACTTTCATATGGAGAGCTCCAGGTACCCGTTACCACCAAGAAAACATCATTGAATGACACCGTTACGGTGGTGCAGGAGTGCTCGTTTGGGGTGGAATTATTCTGGGTTCCAGAACTGACCTGCATGTTCAAATTGGAACAATGACAAGCCAAATCTATCGGGACGTTATTCTGGAACAGCATGTACGTTTGTTTCGGGGCGCCATGGGTGCACAATTTGTGTTTATGGATGACAACACCCGTCCTCACCGTGCAAACATCGTAAGCAAATGCCTTCAATTGGAGGATATCACCCGTATGGACTGGCCAATATTCTCACCGGACTTGAATCTAGTAGAGCATGTAGGAGATATGCTTGGCCGATGAGTTTGCAACCCATCAACCTCCTCCTACATGTCTACCGGAACTTCGGAGAGCATTGCTTTTTGAGTGGTGTAATATCCCCCAAGATCAGGTTGATGATTTGATACTCAGCATGCCTAGGCATTGTACGGACTGTATTAAATCGTCTGGGAGACATACTATGTATTAACAATCATACCAACCATGTAATATAGGTTTTTTGTAAATAGGTGTTTTTTGTAATTTGCTCCAGGGACGCTAATTTTTTAAATAATATCAAACATATAGCATCTTTTTTTGCTCTTTAACTTTTTGTTTAATAAATAAGCTTTACAAATAAGTCAAATTTGTTTTGCTTCTAACTCTTCCTTCGCCTGATTTTGCATTATCCTTAATTTATGGACATGAGTGTATTAATCAACAAGACGCAAAATGTACTATTTGTCTTGTGTTTTAAAAATTAGAAATATGTGTATTTTAGCAATAAGACAATAAACAAAATAAAAGCGATGCATAATCATCTAGGTTCTTTAAATGATAAGTTCATCATAAAAGCAAACACTAAAAAAGAAGGTATAATAGTTGCTTCAAAATTAAAATACAAGTAACCCTCGTATAACACGGTAGATAGGTTCCTAGAAAATGCCATTTCTATCAAATCTTTGTCAGTTTCTTCTTCCGCTAATAAATCTTGAACGTCCTCAATAGCCATGTTCACAAAACCTTTGCCTCCGATTGATTTAGCAAGTTCTAATATGCCACCAATTTCATTTTCTGACTATTCACGCATGTTTTTTATTTCAACTGAATTTCATCTTTTTCTAACATGCATTTAATGTTGATGCTTTCAGTTCTTTCAGCGACAAAGATACGATGTTCAATTCAGTTTTTGATTGAAAATGTCTTCCAAGCTTCCATTACATTAATCGATTTTGAATTGATTATGGCTAAAATCGACTGTAATGCTCTTCTTATGTAATATGTTTTAAAGGTATAAATAATGCCTTGATCCAATGGTTGGACTAAAGAAGTAGTGTTAGGTGGTAGGAACAGTATTTTGACATTGAGATGATTGAGATCTTGCGGGTGATATGGAGCATTATCTAATAGTAATAAGCGCCTTGACGCTCAAATTTTTCTGCTTAAAAAAACGTTCAGCGTCTGACACAAAACAATTTAAAAACCAATCTTTAAATATATTCCCAGGTACCCAAGCTCTTGGATTTGCTTTCCAATATACTGGTAAGGTGTTTTTATTTACGCCATTAAGTGCATGAGTATTTAGAGATCTATAAACTAACAAGGGTTTTGTCATAAAGTCCAAAATCATACTGCATAAAAGTAGTGTTAGATAATTTGTGGACAACTTAAATCAGGATGTTTTTTTTTTTTTTTTTTTTCCTCCAATATAAAGGTTTTACTGGGCATTTTTTTCTCACCAAAGCTCAGCTTTGTCGACATCGAAAACTTGATTTGCTGTGTATCCTTGTTCTTCTATAATATTTTGAAATTTTTGAGGAAATGTCCTAGCAGCTTCATAATCAGCCGATGGAGATTCTCCTTGAATTCTTATGCTATGAATTGCAAAAAGCTTTTTGAAATTTTCGAACAAGCGTTTACTTATCAGAAAATCTGGGTTGACAGAGTGTTCTCCATGTGCTTTGAAGTGCCTGAAAATTTTGAGTGCTTTTTGTTTAATGATATTACCATCCAATGAAATTCTTTTTTTGACAGCTATCATGAATCCAAATGCTGGGTGCCTTTTCCATCTTCTCAATTACTGGCACCCCCGAGGGCGAACTGCACATTTTGAGGATATCAAAGATCCTGCTACAACTGCACTTCTTATTTCTTTTTCATTTTTCTTAATAGTTCGGACTTTTTCTTCATTCCAATTAAAACTTTTTCGAATGTGAGATGCCTTTTCTTTTTTTAAAGACGGCCTAAGATTTGTATCTGTACTTCTTAAAAAATGAGTTTTCTCTTAAACGTTGTAATTTTTTATCTTTATCAAAGATGCTTGGGGACTGAAATTTAATGTCATAAAGACGAAAAAGTTATTCTTTAACACATCGTAGCTCGATGCAGACTGCCGACCAGCATCGTGAGACACTTTTGTTTTCAGACCATGGAGACGAGGACTCAAATTTTCGAACCCGAACGTGCAGGTTGTGCGTTTTAGAGCAATTATTATGACCTCATGTTGTTCACCTTCTGTGATAGTGAGGTTTCTTCATTGTTATCTGGGGACATTTGATAATAAGGATCATCTGAGGACATTTGTTCTGATGGCTACCGGATCTTGGAAGACAACTAGCAGAACTTTTGGAACAAGATGACTATATGAGTGCTTTGCACAATATGGAAAAACTTCGTGCAGATTTCTTTAAATTTCTTCGGATTGCTTGGGCAATTTTCTTATGTTATAGCGAAACCATGTAGCAGGAGAGTTCTTGCAATTTATGAATCGTGTTATAGCAAAACCGTGCTCTAGGAGGGCTACCTTTATACAATGTACTTAAATACAATCATTCCTGTACCTTTAGTAATATAATGTTTGTTGTACAATATAATGTTTCTTTTGTATAACTCACTTGATTGTAGTTTGAAAATAAATAATTTAAAAGCATACCAAAATTCTTAAGCAGCTTCAACAATATCTTGTAGAACAAATCTGAAACAGTGTTGTAAATGGGTTTTGGTTGAAGAGCATTAAAAGTAGTTTTGAATGAACTGAAAAACTATGCCTCACCAGGACTTAGAAGAGAAGGGCTAGCTCATAGACTTTTTCCCTTGAAACAAGAAGTGAAAAGTAATGACGTAGTCATGTTGTCACTGAGCGCAGAGATGCAATTCACAACATAGAAATTAATGTTTTAAGTTTCAACAACCAGTGTTTAAAATGAAATGTGTGCGAAAATAGCTATAATATGAAATAGACAGTGTTACTGCTGTATGCATTTTACACTGAACATTAAAAAATTTAATAATACTAACTCAATTTTAAAATAATAGAAAAAAAATAAATATCTGAAAACTTTCAGATTTTACATTACACCCAAAGGGACTTTTTTTTAACATTTTGTTGTTGCCTTTATTTATTAAATATCATGTTCATCGAACTTAAAAATATCATAAAATTCAGTTCAACAGCAATATTGCAAAATAATTTTAAAATGAGTGTTATCTTTAGAATTTCTGATACACAGTCTCGGGCACTGAAGATAATTTTTTTCGTACAGTGTTGCCATTGCTCGCTTTTAAATTGTTGAGTTTGTTAATCAAAAATTCATTAAAGTTTTACGAAATATGAAATAGATAATAAAATAAATTTCAAACTTTGATGGCTTTAGGTACCATTGTTTTATCACATTGGGAGAAACATACATACATTTATGCTGATTCTTCATTATTTAATTTCTTTAAATATAGTACAGGGCTCTAATTTTGGTGGCAACAATTTGAAAAATTAACTGGCATTTCAATGCAAAATGGCAAAACAAAATTTATCATCCTTCTGGACAAATTGCCCCTTTGGACTAATAAAGTGTGCTATTTTTCTAATATAAAGTTTCTCCCCTTTTTTTAATGCACAGTTTATTTATAATCATTTCTTTATCTGCATACTAGCTCAGTGTCAACAAACAGATGTGAAACACTGAAGGCACCATAAGTATGTATTTTTATAAACAGAATTCCATCAAATTCTCAGACATATATGCACTAGGCTTTCTTTAAAACTATGCATTGAAAGAATTTTAATTTCATGGGAACTTCATAATTTCTTAGGCAGACCAAATGATTTTCCTAAACAATTATTCAAACTGATTTTAATTCATGATGATTCTGTAGAAATTACGCCAATTTTTGAAATGCAATTGTTCTTGCAACATTTAATGTCAACTAAAAGAGAATGAAACTTCTGGTGCATATGTCTTCAATGTTTCGGACCAACTTACGATATAGGCTTATATCTCAATATGATGCGGAATATTTTGGCTTTCAGTTTCATCAACATTTAAAGAAATTCGATAATGCCAAATCTCAAGACTACAGTGATTTTAATTATTTCTTCCTTCAGCAACTTATTTAGAATTGTTTGATAAAAATTTTATATTTTGACAAACTATCAGTCTAAGTCTGTTAAATAATTCATTTCTAATATATTAGAAATTTGTTGAAGGTATTGAGATTTGAGACTAAAAGAAAGGCTGGATTTAAACATGGATGGCATTTTGTTAAAATAACATTAATAAACAAAATAAACAAATGAAAATAAAAAAACGGAGGAACTTTTTTCAGAGTTTTGAAATTCTGAACATTTTGCAGGATCCAAATAATCAAGTAGCAAATGGCATATGATTTTAAAAAGTCCTGATTATAAATGTATGAATATTGAAAATTGATATTTAAAATATTTAGTGATATAATATATATTGATGTTGAAATTTGACATTTTAGTTTTCATTTTTAATTTAATATATCTCCTTCATTATATATACTTTTAAACCTATTTCAGAGCAACTTTAAAAAGGTGTCTCGACAGAGAAGAATTCATAATACTAGCACTGCTGAACAGGCTCGTAGTGCACAGCTAAACGGAGGATTAAAAAGAACAGTTTCTTCTGATATAGAAAACTACAGTTTAGTTATTGAAAAAGTGTCTGTGAATGCCAAAATGCAAAACCATCAAGGGCTTTCATTTTCATCTAATCAAATTCTAACAGCTGCTGGTTTGAAGCAAGAGTCTCCTATTTCTAGAACTAAATTTGGAAGTAATTTGCAAGTCGATTTAAACATTGTACCACCTTCACAGCCAATAAAAGTGTTGAAATTTGATGAAAATACACCCAAAAGTCCCACAAAAAACATAGTCGGAAAAGATTTACCAATGAAACTTTCAAGAATAAAAACTGCTTTAAGCAGCAGAAACTCTACACTGTCTTCAAAAAGTATTAAATCATTTACCTCTATTACTGAATTGAAAAGCAAGCATCAAAATTCTAATCTTAACCTGAACAACACAGTTGTTGAACAATCATTTTCAAATGATATAAAACAAAGCATGCATTTGAATGAACCGCTATCAAGCATATCTTTATCATCTAAAACGCAAGTTTCTAATGTTAAGAAAAATACTTTGTGTACAGAAAATGCAGAATCTGGTGGAAAGGAGTTACTATTTGATTCTGGGATAAATGTCACTATGTGCAACGGAAGTCAGAAAGGAGGAAGCTGTAAGTTCTTTTATTTATAGACAGCTTCTCACAGCAGTAATCATATGTTAATGTCTTTCGTAAAGGTAACTAAATTAAGTAATTATAACACAAAAAAATATTTTATTCATTTTCTACTTAGACATTTATTTTCATTTCATGAAATAATAGAATATAAATTATATGTACAAAATCATGTTCACAAAAATAATTGGATTCTTGCTATAATAAAGAATCACTGAACTTATTTAAAAAGTTTGCGAAATTCTTTGTTTTATTATTATTTTTAAATAATACATATTAATTTCTTTGGTATGTATTTAACTAGATTTTTGTATTATTTTTGGTCTAACTTTTCTTTATGTATGAATTTTTTAATTACTAATTTTTAGTATTGTTTTATAAACTTTATATTTAATTTTTTGGCAGATGCTTTTGATAGAATTTAAATCTAGATCTCCAGAAATTTTCAGGACATCTAAAACACAGTCTGCACAGAGTTCCCAAGATATATATATATATATATATATATATTTGTCATTCTCCCTACTGCCAAAAAATGAAAATTATAATTCTCCTCTTTCCCAGTAATAATAATATTACCTACCTTTAAGGGCAGTAAGAACAAAAAGCATAATTTATAAAAGTTTTATTATACAAATATGCTGTTTTCATACACATATAGTAAGAAAAAAATAAATCAGTAAGACAAATGAACTTGCATATTTTCACAAGATATCCAGTTCTTGGCTGAATAGAAGAAAGTTTGCAATGTAAATCTCTAACAATATTAAATTTTCTTCTATAGTTCATTTTTATTGCTATGACTGCTGAAATGCCCTTTCACACAAATAAGGCTTGAAATATTAAGTAGAGCTGCAGTGCTTGCTCTACTATGATGAGATAAACTTTGAAATATTTTACCCAAAATAATGGTTTATATATTTTTCAAATTCATACTTAGCCTGTAAAATTATTTTTAACTTTCAAAGCTTGCTGTTGCAGTGTTTCTAGCAACACATCTACGTCAGTGTGAAAAGAGATCCATCACAGTCTATAAATATCATTACCACATGAGTTAAAAAATGTAACATTTGAATTCATCAGAGAAATGTTGCAAATGTTTGATATTTTATTCTTAATATCAGTACCCTTAAAAATTTTCGTAAGCACACTTCTTCTAGAATTCTAAATAATTTGGAAAAGCAGGAATCATTGCAGGCTAAAATATTTCATTCCCAGAGTTGCGTGTTATCAGTATACGCTGTCTAGCGTTCTTATGATAAATTATGTTCGAATCTCCATCTTTTAATTTCAAGTTCAATGAGTTTAATAAATCAAAAATATCTGATTGATAAGCTGATATAGCTTGAACACTTGGCTTTTGGAATTTTACTTGAAATTTAGTCTAATTTTGAATTTTCAAAAACCGAATCACTTAATTTCAAAGTTCAAGTAATCATGCTAATGTATTTCCTTTTATGACCCATCGTGCTTCCATGTGAATTGGCAGTGCTTTATGCTCAAATCTTCGCAAAGAGTCATAAAATGCTGACTATTTAATGCACTCTTTTTAACATGATTGACGATTCTGATGCATTATTTTAAGGCATCGTTAAGTTCGTTTGAAAGTGTCCTAACTGCCAACGCTTGACAATGTATAACACAGTGCCTAGCAGTAACATTGGGATTTTATTCCCTGACTGTACATATCATGAGTGAGAGCTAAGCATTAATGCAGCGTCATCTGTGCATATACTTATCAGCTTTTGCCTTGACAATTCATATTTGTGAACAATTCAGAGATTGCTGTCATATAAATTGCTCTTGAAGTAGTCATCAACTCTATAGAAAACAGCATGTTATTCTTAATTGTTTCATTTTGCATGTATCAAATCAAAACCAATAGTCGACAACATTTTGCAACATCTATACTCTGTTCCAACTGTATTGTAAAAAAAAAAAAAAAAAAAATTTTTTTTAGAACCTGAAATAACTGTTTTTTTTTTAGGCCATATCATCAATGTGATGTATCACAGTGTTGTCAGAAAGTGGTATTTGTAAAAGCTTCGTTTACTTTCTAGTCCAAGAATAATATCAGCTGCTTTCAACTTGACAAGTGTTTTACCAATAATATGACTTTTCTCCTTTATTGATGAATAACAATAATTCATACAAAGCTTAAAGCACTTTTTTAAATAACTGAGCAAAGTATCCATTATTATCTAATTTCATGCATTTCAAACTCTCACAGTTTGCACAAAAAACTCCTTTGGCATGTCTTTTAACATGCTATTTTTTTAATATATATGTTACTCCAGTCGAGAAGGGTCTTATAACATCATAACAAAGAACACAATGACTGCTTGATACATTTTTTTTTTTTTTTTTTTTTTTTTTTTTTTTTTTTTTTTTGTATACCACCAAAACCATATTTAATGTAATCAGTATTGTATCCCGAATTCATGATGAAGTGTTGGGAGGGAACTTAAGAAGTTAATAGTTTATTTTTGCTTCAGAAGTACACATAGCTGCACTGTTTGTGTGATTGATGCTTGGGTGACATAGGTGGTGCTGTGTATGCAGGCAGTTAAGTCCCACTCTTTAAATGTCGTCATGCCTCACTTTGAAAATCAATGAGGAGCACATAGTATTAAGCTTAAAATCATTGCATTGGTAGAACAGTATTTCATGTGTAAAATTTTACTCATGACTTCAGAAGTCGTTTAAAAATATCAGTGTTCATGTTTACACTGTTAATACACTGGTTGGTTTATTAATGATGAGGCTGGCATGATATGGTTTTATAGAATAAAGCGCATTCCTCTTCTACAGTGTGCTACTTTTAGAACTAAAAATTAGCTATGTTTTCAAAAATTTTCGTTGGAACTTCTTCATGTAATAAATTGGCCATCCTCATCAAAAATGTTAAGTTAGCTTTCATCAAATACATCTGTTTTCTTAAAACAATTATGGTAACAAAACACTGAAATAACAAAAATTATGAGAGAAAGCTTTAGTGAATTTACAAGAAGATATATTTTATTTGTTTGTTATTTTGTTTCTCATTATTTTAATGCAAAACAAAATTATCTGCAGTAAATATGGTATTTACTGCAGATAATTTTGTTTTCAGTGTATGTAATATCCAAAGACTGTGACTGTTATTCTGCTTAAAAAGCATGTTAATTCAAAACTCGATATTTTTTGGAGGGGAGAAATATAATATAAAAAGACGATTAGGTTAATTCATATTTTAAACACATTATTTTTAGTTTGTTTAATACACGTGAAAGTTTTGATATTATTTTTGAAATTTAAAATGATCTAGTCACTTTTCAGAGACACTCTGAAAAGTGCCTTTCATTTATCCTTACATATGCATTTTTACTTTATGTAATCTAATTATGCTTCCTTCCATTTTTATAACGAATTATGTTATTTTGAAGAACTATTTTTACATTACAGTGTCCTTGACTGAAGACATAGCAAAAGGGAAGAATTTTCTCTTGAACCGTTTTTTGCAGGTAATAATTAATACTGTTTTATTTCTTTCTTTACTACTAATCTAGCTACATTGGATGCTTAGACATATAGTAAATAATACAATAAACAAAATAAGTTCTAAATCAAAAGATAGTTATACAATGCAAGCTGCAATAACAATTTGGAATAATAGTATTTGGTAAATGTAAATTCAAAACTTATTTAACTTGGAATAAAGAGCTGGAAGTAACTAAATAAATTATTTTCAGAATTAATAAATCATTGGAAAAAAATAAGAAAATCCGTCTTGAAATTCAATAAACATGTACAAAAATTAAAAATTAAATGCAATAAAAGAACAAGCTACACCTCCCAGTATATTTTCTTTAGGGATACGTATATCAAGAGAACAATTTACATCTCCCAGTGCATTTTCTTTAGGGTTTCATGTGTTGAGAGAAGTAAATGAATCAACCTGTTTCTAAACTAATAAAGACAAAAATTTTACTAATTTTAAAACTTCAATTAAGTAGAAAACAATATGTCTTTTCATCAATCCAAGCTCTACAAGGGTGGAATGTGAAAGGCATCTTGCCATACAAAACGTAATTCATCATGATCCAAAATTTCAAACTCGGTATCAAAACCATTAAATTATCATGTAATGCAAAACAAATTAAGCAAAATTATTCATTAAATAAAAATACTAAATATAATGAAACTTTAATCTATAACAAACAAGTTATTCATCCTAAACCAAGTATTCAAAAATCAGTAACCAAAGTTCTTACTGAAATTAAAAATTGGATCAGTAATTAGTAATTCAAATAATTAACTATGACAAATTGTAAACTATGCAACTATGCAAGAATCTATGAACAAATACATACATCCACATTTGAAGAACTGGAACAAGCTAATCCTAACATGTGCACTGATGCATGAATAAGTGGAACTCTTAAGGAAATTATTTTAGCAAAAATGATCTTTAATGTGGTTAAGCTATAATAACTTAATGTCTTAGAAAAGGAAAGAGTTTTACCTCCAGTTTGTACAAGTCTAGTGGTCAAAAGTGTGTAATCCATGCTTAGGCTCTCCATGATTTAACTGAGTACAGTAGTACTTGGTGATAGTAATAATAAATAGGGTAGTAGTACTGATATATTTGCAGGGCAGACTAAGCATGGACTGCACACTTTTAACCTCTAGATTTCAACGAAATACAAGGTGCACTCCTAAAGTAACTACACAAAATAAAAGAATCAAACTATGAAATAAATAAAGTAAAATAGTAAATGTATATTGAGAAAAAGTGACATCTCAGTTCTTGTTAAAGCAGGACTAGTTATTTTGTTGTTTGCATATGAAAACACAAAAGTAATTTTCATTTACTGAGAAGACATCGTACAAAAAAGTTACTTTGTTACAACAATGTTAAATCTTTGGAACAATGTTAAATTTTGTTACAAATTAGGTAAATCTGGTACAGAAACAAAAACACAGGTGTATGAGTGTTACAACCACTTTAAATGTGGGTGCGAAAGCAATGGAGATGAACCAAAGATAGGGCATCCTTCAACTTCAAAGAGTGGAGAAAATTCGTTCATTGGTAAAAGCTAATAGACGTGTAACTCGGAAATTTCAGATATGCTTGGGATAAGCAAAGAATGCTGCCATTTAATTTTAATAGAAAATATGAAAACGAGAAAAGTTTGTGCTTGATTTGTGCCTCAGGTTTTAGCAGAACAGCAGAAAGAAGACAAAAAGGTTTATTGTGAAGATTTGCTGCCTACTGAAAGACAGCACAGCAATTTATCATATCGTAGCAGAGAGGAGACCTAGTCTCTACAATAGGACCCAGAAACAACCAAAAAACGTACATAGTGGAAAGTACTGTCTTTTTTCATACAAAAAAGGGTAGATGTCAAAATTGAATACTAGTGTAATGATAATTGCAATTTTTGATAACAAAGCATTTATTCATCAGGAATTTGTCCCTGAAAATCAATTAGTTAATCATTATTTGTCAATACATGAACCACCTGAAGGAGATGCACCAAAAGATGTAAATTCTTCTTTTATTGCATTTAATTTTTTTTATGGTTGCTTAAATCAAATTTCAAAAATCTCATTTTTTCCCCCACAATAATTTATGACTTTTGCAAACTATTTATTTAGTTACTACCAACTCTTTATTCCAAGATAAAGAGGTTTTGAATTTTGTCCATACTGGAATTTGATCCGCACTGGGTCTACATCCATTCTTTTAGTAATATCCCCAATGACAAATAAGTAATTTTTCTTTAATTTCGTGAAACATGTTAGAAGTGATAGAGCACACTGCAATTAAAATGCAAACTTTCAAGGCTGTCCAATTTATTTGCATAGACTTTATCCTTTATATATCACCAGGCATAAGATCCAGTTTCTATTATGATCAGATGATATGTGCTGTACATCTGATTTATTATCCAGGAAAGACATGATGAGCTTGGCTAATTATCAGATGTGTTGCAGGCTATTGAAAAAAATTCTGAATGGAACTTGGAACATTTGAAATATCCATCTGTCATATGTAGGTGCATTTTTTAGCAAAAAGGAAATGACCATTACCCTTCTTTTACCATTCTTTGAAAATAGGAACTTTTAATCAGTAGTAAGCTGTAAAGGGATCACGAGGGCTTGCACGATTCTTCTGTTAACTTTGTGTCTGTTTTGAAAGCCCCTTGTTCTTTCTGCTTGCTTGAAACAAGTTAATTAATTCTCTGTTAAAAATCAATAGTATATAAAGAAATAATAATTGAAAGGAAGAATATTTTTCACAAGTCAGTGTAAGAAAATTAAAGTTCCTTATGATTCCTTTACAAAATGCATTATTGCAGTATCATTGCAGTAAAGTAATTATAAAAAACAAAAAGGGTGTAGAATTAAAAGTGCATTTTAATATTTATCATCTAGCGACATGAGATGGGAAAAAACTAACTTGCTGGAGGAAAGACATAAGGGGATACAAATAACATAATATCAGATTAAAGCATGAAATGAAAATAAATTATTTCAGGGACTTTAATGCAGAGATTATCATTATTAATAATACTGAAGTTAAACATGCTTTCAGTTTAATTAACAGTATTTTTGTAAGGAAATCTTGACTGATTATATAACATTTTCAAATTTAATTACAAGCTTCTTAAATAAGAAATTTGAAAAAAAATTGAATCATAGACCTAATGTTAAAAACATTCTTGAGAAATCATTGAAATCATTTGATAAAAACTTAAAGAACCAACTATGAAGGAAGAAAATAATATGTGCCAACATTTGGCATAATTTGTGCAGCATAGTTAAATTTACTCATAATTTAATGTGAATCTGTGATATTTTACATTTTAAATTTAAAGTTTATTAATTATTTTATTTATTTATAGTTCGCATACAATTATTTGTATTTCTTGCGTTTGTAAAAAGTAAAACATTTAATTAGAATTTAATATTCTGTTTTTATAAAATAAAGTGCTCTTTAACATGCTCATAAAATAAAGTGATCACAACTACATGGTTGAGTGGACAGCTTGTATTTATTTGATCAATTTCAGATTGTTTTTAAACAGCATTTTTTGCAAAATTTATGCAAATTGTATTTTGCTAATTATCAAGATAAATACAGACATATTTTTAATGGCGGGCCACTACGAAGGCTGGAAGTGGTGGTCATTTTATTATGGAGGAACCTTTACTCCCTGTGAAGGAACAGTGAATTTGCAACCATTCTTTCCCAGGATTCGAACCCAGGCCCTTCTGTGTAGCAATTAGTGTCAGTAACCAGTTTCCCATCTGGGTGGCTCAATATAGAAATAAAGAGTACCAATTGCAGATGAATTGTGAGAGACCAATTTTTTGCTGGAAAATAAAATTTTTATTGCTAACTTTGTAGTCTTGAATTCGAAATGAACTAATATCTCTGTTTCCTGGATATTTATATTCCCAGGTATTTGTATTGCAGATTAATAGGTTTTGTGCATATGCAAAGTATTTATAAACTAGTATAGAATTAAATTTAAAAAAAAAGCAATGATTGAGTAGCTCTGTAGAATTTGAAGACTATAAAATTACATGTATGTTCATAATTCAGAATATGGATAGAGTTTTCATTAATTTGTTGAATGACGCACAGAATTTATGTAAAATAGATAAAATCATTTTAAAGGTAACATATTTTTTAAGCTGAGGATTAATAATCAAATTCACTTAAAATCAAAATATTGAAATTTCAATCTTTAATTTAGTATCACACATATATTTATCGTGGCTTTCATATAATGGTGTTAATATATATGTGCACCGGTTAACTATAAATCCATGTACTTAAATATATATTAAATTTGTAAATGATATATGGAAGTTTTGTGCTGTTTAATGGAAGTGACCAAAGGTACATAGACTACTGCCCATTAATCTTGCTACACCATGAAGGAAGCACACAACAAACCTAAATTTTGAATGAATGGTAGAACTAATAGCAGTAAGAAACAATTAGCATTTTATGACATGGGCACACATTATATATAAAAATAATAACCTCTTGAAGCAGTATAAGAAGACAAACTGAAATGCTCATTTTTATGACATGCACACATCTCTACATATAATAAAACTAGGAATCTGTTTGTGCGTATGTGTGTGTCTTTCGTTCGCGCTGTGCATAAGCTAATAGACCCACGACTACGAAATTTGGTACATAGGTGCATCTAGACAAGAGCCAGTGCATATCGAAATGATTTTTTCGAAATTCGAATTAGAATTTTTTTAATTTTATGTTTTGTGATGAAATCGTGTCATTTTGAGACATAATGTGGTATAGGAAAGCAAGATTTTACTCTACATACTCCCTTTTCACATCGTCATGAAACGTAGGCACTTAGCTTTTTACGAACTTAAAATAAATTTCATGTTCCAATAAATCGATTAAATACGAATTTATTTAACGAAGGGAGCTTAACACCTTTTCTACAGGATTTTTTCTAAAAAAGTTTGTTTAAAA